GCCTCCTGAGTTCAAGTGATTCTCCTGCCTCAGCCTCCCAAAGTGCTGGGTTTTATTGTTTTGTTTTGTTTTTTAGTGAAGACAGGGTTTCCATGTTGCCAGGCTGGTGTCTCGATCTCTTGACCTTGTGATCCACCCGCCTCCGCCTCCCACAGTGCTGGGATTACAGGCTTGAGCCACCGCGCCCGGCCCGAAGGTATCATCTTAATCAGCTAAACATATCCTGACCTGCTATGATGGTCTTTTGATATGTCACTTGACTAGATTATAGTCTCCAGTTGCTGAATCAAACACTAAAAACCAAACCACACACACAAAAAACCAGTCCAGGATCATGATTACCTGGAAGCCAATGGTCTGTAGTTCATTGTGGAGCCCATCCAGGACACGCCGTCCATCAAAGATAAAGGCTGGCTTCAGCATTTTTTTATGAATACGTTCATAATCCAGTTCCTGTAAAGACATACCACAGGAACAATTAAAACACATACATGAACACATATACTCAACCCCAGCTGATAGTGGAGTACCTCTAGAATTTTCCTTAGTATCATTTCTGTTACCTTACCTTAAACATGTCCCACTCAGTGCAAATAACAACAGCATGGGCACCATCACATGCTTCATATGGATCCTTGGAAATGGTCACAAGCCGGGACACTGTAACAACAGCAACAACAACAACAAAGAAAACAGAAATAAGGAGTTATTTGACATTACAGTAGTTCCCCCATTATCTGAAGGGATACATTCCAAGATCCCCAACTGTGGAGAGTACTGAACACTATATATACTTATACACATACTTGTTTTTTTTTTAATCTGACAGCCAAAAGTCACTACGAGACTAATGGGCGAGTAGCACATAAAGTGTGGATATGCTAGACAAAGTCACGATAAATGTCTTAGGCAAGATGAAGCAGCATACAATTTAAAACTTATGAATTGCCGGGTGCGGTGGCTCAAGCCTGTAATCCCAGCACTTTGGGAGGCCGAGGCGGGTGGATCACGAGGTCAAGAGATCAAGACCATCCTGGTCAA